AATAAACCCATGAAATAATTTCTCATTTTACACATTTTAGCTACAATTTTCACGTCTATCTAAATACGGTGATTACTATCGTCAAGTTTTCTCTGGAATCATGTCCGTAACGCACGCAACCCACTTCCACGTCTGCGGTCGGTTCAAAGCTGATAGGGCACTGGAACATGTCTTATCATGATGCAATAAATTTCACAGAAGATATTAAACAAACAAGCTTAGATCGCCCCTTCATTCCTACGCAATCTCCCTATCGACCGAATTGCCCTACCTTATACCAGTAATAAATTGATATTGTTACTGGTTTCACAATTAATATAAATGTTGTTATTAATACAGAAATTAATTTTAGCATTCAGGAAAACTCGATAATTTGAAAACGAAACCAAAATTTGTTACAAATATATTTTTTAGTAGATTTTCTTGGGCTTAGGTTCATAAAAAAGATTGTCATGATACTAAGACATTTTTATTTACTTTTTTCTACGTTTCGGCAGGAAATCCATACCTTTTTCAAGAAATTATATTGACTAAAAAACATTTTATTGGGTAAACCCCTAAGGGAGGCACATATGGACAAGACAATATTTTCTACGGGGCACATATGAACATAGGTTTTGATGGAAATAAATTAATTTTTATAAGTGCAATTTTTAATATTTATTTAACATAATACATTGAATTATCCCATGAAAATTAACGAAAAACCTAAAAAAAAGAGCTGGATCTTGCTGTCCCAATTTTTTTTCATGAGCTGGCAATTTTTTATAATATCATGGAAATACAAAATCTTGTCGCGACGTCATTAAAAAAAAATACTAAAAATTCTGACTCTTCTAGTTCCTTTTCGATCTCACCAACAAAGAATTTGAGTGTTTTTTGTAGCAAATTTAATGAGAACAAAATCCCCTTTCTGGATATTCGTAAGATCCAATCCAAAATCTTTACCATCTTCAGTCTCAACTTCCATAAGACCATCATCTGACTATTTGCAATAATTCTCATTTTCGCTTTCTGATGTGTCCTCATTAAAAACTTTGCCTTTTTTTCCTGAGCCCGTTTCTCTTTTTCCTCCATTTCTCTTATTACATTTTTTAATCTATTTTTTTCTGGTGTAGCGGTCAGAATGGTTGAATTTTTTTTTCCTTCCTTCCTTAGAACTTATTTTCACAGCTTTTGGGTATGGACGAATTTGTTCCGGAGTAACTTTTATATCGGAAGTAATTACAATTTTGGAACTTTGTTTTTTGTTAAATAAAACAGGTTGACAATTATTGTTGACTTGTGATTGAACATTTGCCGATGATGGTGTAGAAAGCATTTTAGAATTAGAGAACGTACTGCAAGTTAGACAATCATCAGATGTGGTATCTCGCTGCGATACATCACTGACTTCCGTAACTTCTGCTTTTAAAAACACAGAAATAATGTTTTCCTATTAAATGCTTCGTCAAAGGCTCGAGCTGGTAGATGTGCAATGTCATACATTTTTTTAGCTATTCGCAGATGTGTAGACATCCATAAGTTGAATGCTGCACGACAACGACCCTTAAAAGGGCCAAATACACACACATCTAGAGGCTGCAAACGACGTGTTGTGTGTGGAGGAAACGTTAAGAGTACATTTTCTCTGCAATACAATATAACATCTAACGTTGCATGTGTATTATTAATATCCAAACGTATTAACGCAGGGTTTTCCTTAGCATTTATGTTTTTTTAATATGCTTTACAACTTCGAGAAATCCCTCCTTGGTCACCGAACCACTTGGAGAACCAATAACGATACTGCCTTCTGGACCTCCAGTCAGGAATGACTCTTTATATCGAACTCGGGCGAAGATATAACAGGTGGGATAGCATTTTCATTGGCAATGATTATTCCAAAAAAACGTCAATTGCTCACCTCTCTCTGCTCCAACTGCTTGTCCCACTTGCTTACAGCCCTTATTTGTGACCACTTTTGGCATTTGCAGAACAGTGTTCACTCCGCTTACATCTACGTCCACGATTCTATCACGAGTAAATGTGTATGTTTTGTAAACAGTCTCTAGGTTATCAAAAAACATGTCTACGTTATTTTTATTAAAACTGATGTTTGTGTCTAGACTCGTAGACTCCGATTTTCGAAATGATAAATTATTGTTAATCTTCATGAAACCTTTCATTCACTCAATTACAGCAAAATAATTTTCCAACCATGACTTTGGCACATAATTTTCAAGCTTCAGAGCATACTCATGCGAATGTTCGAATTTGAATGTAGGTTAATCCCTACTGTAACTTCGAAGATTGAAGAATTTAATTTACTAGACTGTCCTCTTCTTCATTTAAAAAAATCTGCTGTGTTGTATATTTTGATAAAAACTTTATTCTGATATATCCGTATCATTTATATTTTTTTGATTTATAATCGGTTCACAATTTGTCGATAGCTCACTACAAGTTTAACCCTAATTAGAGAACTGAAATTCAGAGAGGATAGTTAATACGATATAATAGTAAAAACCAACTTGAAACTGACGGTTTAAGATGTTTTCGACTAACCCACCTTGTATCTGAAGGAATACAATACAGCAGTCAACCTTATAATTCGATTACGGAGGTATTTTGTTATAGTTTTTTTATCTTTTATGTAACATGGACTTCTTCAATCTATATCTCTCTGCTACGTTTATGATTGATCCGTTACCATTTTTTATATCGCAAATGGCAAACTACACTCCGCGTCATAGAAAACGGGCCACCTCAAATATTTAAAATATTTTCGAAATTATTATTTATTGCTACAAAATTAAGCATTTATTTTGTTGTATTTTGAATTAACATTATTTTATTTTTAATGTGTCTTAGGTTACTTAAGTTAAATGGGTTGTTGCGAAAGCAAACCGACCCTGTAACTGGCTTGAGGATATTCGTAGAACCTATAAAATAAAACAATTTTGAGAAAAAGTTGTTACAACTTGATCAATTTTCGAGGAAGCGATTGTTTTGAGAAATGTTTGATATTGTAAAGGGTTCTAATGAGCTTTTAACGCATCTCAGTATTACAGTAGCCGACTTAGTGTAAAGTAGTCTTCAGTTAATAACGATGAAGAATTTTCAAAAATCGGTTGAAATTGTAACGTTACTGGGAGGTGGATTAAGTCAAAGACACGTTGCAAGACAATTGAATATTAGTCGTTCGACTGTACAAAGGACCCAGCAACGATTTATTGTCACAGAATCTCACCAACGACGACCTGGTACTGGTCCAAAAAGGAAAACAACCGCTAGGGAAGATCGCGTCTTCCTTCTTGCTGCATTACGGAATCGGACCCAAACCGCTAGAATGCTTCAAGGCCATTTACAGCAAGCTCAAGAACCAGCAATCAGCCTTTCTACTATTCGGCGAAGATTAAGGGAGCAAGGTGTGACAGCTTGCAGTCCAGTAACGGGACCCTTACTTTCCCCAGCTCACAAAAGTCGAAGACTAGATTTTGCTCATGAGCACATCAATTGGACAGCAGACGATTGGAAAAAAGTATTGTTTACGGATGAGTGTAGAATATCTATTTATGCTAAAGACGGACGTAGTAAGGTGTACAGACGAGTTGGAGAACGTTTCGCTGGTTGCACTCGGGCACCACGGGTTGCTTTTGGTGGTGGTTCAGTAATGTTTTGGGCAGGGATTTCTTTTGATGCGCATACGGATCTCGTCGTGATCGACAGAGGTGTGTTAACAGCAGTAAGGTACGTAACGGAAATCTTACAGCATCATGTGATGCCCTATGCTGGATTTATTGGTAACGAATTCCTGCTTATGCAGGACAATTCGAGACCACACACGGCAAGGATAGTAACGGAGTACCTTGACGAGGTTGGTATTCAAAAAATATACTGGCCTGCTCAAAGCCCCGATTTAAATCCTGTTAAGCATATATGAAGCCTGTTAAAAAGTCGCGTTAGGCGTTGCATACCTGCTCCAACAACACTTGGAGAGCTCCAGATGGCACTCATTGAGGAATGGGCCACTTTTTCCCAAAAATATATCCAAAACGTTATAAATTCCATGCCAAATCGAATGAGGAGTATCATCCAGAATCGAGGTGGCAATACCCATTACTGAAAATGGATACCAGCTTTATTTTTAATATAAAGTTCATTGTTGTTTTAAAAACGGTAAGTTGATTCTTTCCATAAATTTCCTATTTTCCTTAAATTTTTTATTTTCGATTGATGTTTTACGATAATGATGAAATTTTATACTAAACGAGTTATTGATTCAATATACTGAAAAATAAATGCTTAATTTTGTAGCAATAAATAATAATTTCGAAAATATTTTAAATATTTGGGGTGGCCCGTTTTCTATGACGCGGAGTGTACTACGTTTTCAAGAATATTACTTCTATCAGTTTTATTTCTAACTGTAAGGTAAAAAAAGATATTTTAGGTTGTTTTGTTTTGAAAGAACCTATGGGGTACAAGTGGATACTGTCCACTTGTTCCCCTGTATGGTATCCACATCTGCCCCGTGTGCATAGTTTTTCAAAAGTTCCGGATATCTGTTTTTAGATTATGACTAGAACACAACTGTAGAAACTTCCTGATATCAAATATGACACTATTCCAAATACGATGCACGTTACAAGGAAACACAGAATGTCATTAAATAATATTACAACACAACCTCGTGACATAAACAAATGGCAACTGACATTGAATTTATTTCTTGGCATAAAACTATATCACCAGTGCCACCTAGGAGAGTGAGTTAGAACCACTCGAAAAGAAATCTAGACGGAAAAAAATCAACTGTCCACTTGTGCCTCTGTCCATATGTGCCTCCCCTTCCCCTACCATCCACTAATGATAATGTATATTGATTATAGGACATGATGATTATAGAATACGAAAGTATATAAAGCCCTACTGTCGATTTTAATTTCATGTCATGTTGCTGTTTATAATTTGTACTCAGTAAAAATGTATTACTATTTATTACTATTTAAATGTAGGCAAGAAGAAAGTGTATCCTCAAATGGTAGTAGTTCTAATACCGCCCGGCAAGTAATTGAATTAGAAAGGGAAGCCCTAGAATTACGACGTGAACTTCAAGATACTCGAGCCAAGAAGGAGGCATCAGATCAAAAAGTATTACAGTAAGTGATTTAACTAATTATTTATGTACTTACCTGATTTTTAGTTACACATGTTTTCCCTACTATGAATTAAATGTGGAAGAGATTTTTATGCCATTTTTTATGTCCTTTGTTAAGAGTAATATATATTCAGATCAGAAGAATATGATGCGCCGTGTAGTATTTGTATGTGTGTGTCTTAAAAAAATACATCCTGATTTTTTAATTGAATATTAATTTATTATGATTCTACGTTACTGTCGTATTTATTTGCGTTGTTTATACCTTTTGACAAGTTGATTTCCATATTTTCTATAACTCTCTCATCTAATTTTATTATAGCTCATATCAGCAGGGATATATCCCAGATAATTTGATTGCTTGTTTAACGTGCAGTGTCAGGAAATATTACATTGACAAAATTTCTTATAAAAATATAACAAGTGACCACAATCTAGTTCTAGCAAACATGAAACTTAAGTTAAAAAAGTTAAAAACAGCTGCCAAAACACCGAGAATCAATCTGAGAACACTAAAAGAAACTGATATATACCAACAAATCAAAGAACAAGTGCACAAAGAAGCAGAAAGGCAAAAGCAATTGACAGCAACTGATAAATGGAGGAAAGTAGAGAGAATCTTGAGAAATATCACAAAACAAAAACTTTAAGAAGACACATCATCTAAAAATAAACAATGGATCACACAAGAGATAAAAGAACGGATGACGGAAAGAAGGGCATACAAGAATAAAAACGAACAACAGTACAAAAAAAAATTACATAATAACAAATCAAACAGAAAATCAAAGAAGCTAAGGAACTGTGGCTATTAGAAAAGTGTGAAGAAATAGAAAGGTTAGATAAACAACATGACAGTTTTAACATACACCGGAAAATCAAAGAGACAGCTGGCATATACAAGAAGAAGGGTATCAAAAATATCATGGATAAAAATAACAAGATAATAACGGAATGTACATATAAAATAAATAGATGGGAAGAATACATAAAAGAGCTATTCGAAGACGACGAGAAAATTGAGGTCATTGAACCAAAAGGGAGGAATGGGCCACCAATCACCAAAGACGAAATTGAGAAAGCGCTAAAACGTATAAAAAATGAAAAGGTCATGGGACTAGATGAAATACCTACAAAAATCTTAAGAATATTAGCAAAACATCATATGGGCACACGAATAAAATTATTTAATGACATTAATTATAAGGGAGAGATTCTGAAATAATGGTTAACATCAATATTCATTCCAATACCCAAAAAATTAAACGCAATGAAATGTGAAGAGCACAGGACAATTAGCTTAATGAACCATATTCTAAACGTGTTCTTACGAGTGATCGAACGTATCTATAAATAAAAAGTTGTGTAATCGATTACACGAACGTATCTATAAAAAGCAAGATGATAGAATAGCTGAAAACCAATTGGGATTCAGAAAAGGCTTCGGCACCAGAGAAGCATTATTTACTGTACAAACACTAGTCGAACGATGTCGAGATGTCAATTGCGACGCATTCATATATTTAGTCGATATCGAAAAAGCTTTCGACAAAGTAAAAAACCGAAGAATAGCAAAAATAATGCAGAACACAGAATTAGATGACGAAGACGTGAGAATCATTGCCCATCTATACCGATATCAGAAAGCCATAATACGAATAGACCAACAAAAATCGAAGGAAATACCTATAAATCGTGGAGTAAGACAAGGATGTGTGCTTTCCCCTTTACTTTTTAATATGTATTCAAAATAATTGTTTAAAGAGGCATTAGAAGACGTAAATGAAGGAATATTTATTAATGGAGCACTTCTGAATAATCTTAGATACGCAGATGACACAATACTCCTTGCAGACAGCAGAGAAGGACTACAGATCTTAGTTGATCGTATTACCCAAGCGAAAGGTATGGAATGGCACTGAATACAAATAAAACAAAAATAATGGTGGTAAACAAGAGCAATATTGAGGAAGACGACAGTGTTTATGCTAAACGAAAACTTTTAGGAGGATGCACATATATCAGTACTTAGGTTGCGAACTAAATAAAGAATGATATAGGAGTACGAAAATAAAATGGTGTATTGAGATAGCTAGAAGTGCTTTTAATAAGATGAAAGCAATATTATGCAATGGAAAATTCAACATTGAAGTTAGAACTAGAATATTGAGATGCTACGTGTTCTCTGTCCTGTTGTATGGAGTTGAGGCCTGGACAATTACAGAGACGACAGAGAAAAGACGCATTAACTTTGAAATGTGGTGTTATCGAAGAATGTGGAAAATATCTTGAACACAACATATAACAAATGCTGAAACGCTACGAAGAATGAAAAAAGATAAAGAAATACTCAACACTAAAAAGAAAAGAAAAATGATCTACTTTTGTTACATACTAAGAAACGAGAAATATGAATTAATGCGGCTGGTCATACAAGAGAAGGTGGAAGGCAAAAGAGGACCGGGGAGAAGACGCATGTCGTGATTGAAGAATCTGAAACAATGGAGTGGTAAAACGTCAATAGAACTTTTCAGAACGGCTGCAGATAGAGTCAAATGGGCAAATGATGATCGCCATTTGACTTGCTACTCAAAGACCAATGCACAGAAGAGAGTGTAAAATAGTATAATACCGTTATTCAAACGGATTTAATAGACCAGGAATTTAAAAAATTGCATAGAGTTTTACAAGACATACAAGAAAAATTCCTCAAACCACCAAAAATTAACAAAAACTTCATGGATGACAAATGAAATTCTACATATGATGGAAAGAGGCGAAAAGTCAAAGATCAGGACAAGACATTATACAAAAGAATAGACACAGCTGAGAGAACCATGTGCGGAAATACAGCTATTACAACAGAAACACGATTCATTCAATATGCACAAAAAAGTTAAAGAAGCTGCACGTTAAGGAATGGGGCACGTTAAGAAGAAGTACTTTCTCTGTTTAAATTTTATTAGTCGTATTGACGCGACGGAGCAATGGCTAGGGAGGTATGACAGTTGGGGATAAGACAGAAAGATGCCACAAATCAAAGAGTTTTTGCATTTTTTCCAATAAAATGTGCTGCAAACAAAATTGTTTCGATTTTGTTGGCGAATCCTGTATATATACATATATTTATTGAGAAATTTAATTATTTATAATATTAAAAATATTTAATATTTTTGTAGGTTAGATAAGAAGCTTTCCAATTTAATGCGCAGTAGCGACATGAACTCAGATATTTCCGACGAAGCTAAAACGGCCTCCATAGAAAGTCTCAGCACGAGCATAATTACCAACGCGTCGTCCGTATCTCATAGTAATTCCAGAATCACTTTGACTGGACCTGTAACTGATTTATAATACTTAATAATATTAAACCGAATTTAATTGAAACATATCGTGAAAGTAATAAGAATAACATTCCTATTCGAAATAATAAACCTAAAACTATTAATGAGGTTAGGTGGTAATTTTAGGAAAATGTGGGTTTGTTTTATATCATTGGGTCATATTTTTAGTTTTATTAGAAGTAAGCAATTAATTAAATATTTTGTAATGCTGTATATTTTCTCCGTGAAAAGATATTCTTCATATATAATTCTAATCTAAAATCTAAATCTAAATCTTGATTTAAAATTGTCATTTTAGTTTTTCAAGACAGCTTAAATTTTTCTCACCAAAGGCGAAAATTGGTTTAAATCGATATCGACCATACGCATCTATATCACGTATATGGAATGTTACTTTGGTGCAAAATTCATATGCGGAATGTTAAATATTCGTAAACCAAAAAGACTAAACTAAAACAATGCAATAGGAAATAAAACAAAATCGTTGATGGATTCGATCGTTACTTGATGGAAATTCATTTTATGTAACAATAAAACACTGAAAACTTTGTTTTCAAACTTCCACAAAATTTATTTTAAATATTATCACTACAGCTGTTTCGGCTGATTGCCTTTCTCAAGTGATCTATTTTGGCTTGGGTTTACAAATTTATAGTCTCTAATGAAATAGATTGAGGAGGGGAGAACTGTTTGTCTCAAGTTGGTCATTCAGAATTATATCTGTGTTTTTTAATTTGTTGATTTCCATAGATTCTAACAAAGATAGCTTAAGGTCTTTATTTTGAATGTGAAGAATTTTAAATTTGTCTTTAAAAGAATGACTAGGATCTAGAAGGTGAAGTGCGTATGTCGAATCTGTTTTTCTATTCTTGAAAGCCCTTTTATGTTCTGCTATTCGTTTATCAAAGTTTCTACCAGTTTGACCGATGTAAGTTTTTGGGCAGTCGCCACATTGATGTTTGTACACACCACTATTTAAGTGTTTTTTATTTTGGCTCTTGTTATTTTTAATATATTTGCCTAGGTTGTTCTTTGTTCGGAAAGCTGGTGTTATTCCTTTCTTTTTTATGTGTTTGGCAATTTTTGTTGTTATTTTGCCTGTATATGTAATCGAGCAGAAGGTACTGGGTTTTTTCTCTGGTGGTGGAAATACTAATTTCAGGGCTTTCTTGTGTAGTTTTTGATTTAACATTTTATTAATTGTTTGTTCGTTGTATCCGTTGTTTACTACTATTTGCTTAATTATATTTAATTCTGTCTTAAAGTTGTATTTTGACATCGGAATTTCTGTTAATCTATTTAACATACTATGATAAGCTGCCAGTTTATGTTGTGTTGGATGGGATGATAAACGAATAGCAGAACATAAAAGGGCTTTCAAGAATAGAAAAACAGATTCGACATACGCACTTCACCTTCTAGATCATAATCATTCTTTTAATGACAAATTTAAAATTCTTCACATTCAAAATAAAGGCCTTAAGCTATCTTTGTTAGAATCTATGGAAATCAACAAATTAAAAAACACAGATATAATTCTGAATGACCAACTTGAGACAAATAGTTCTCCCCTTCTCAACCTATTTCATTAGAGACTGTAAATTTGTAAATCCAAGCCAAAATAGATCACTTGAGAAAGGCAATCAGCCGAAACAGCTGTAGTGATAATATTTAAAATAAATTTTGTGGAAGTTTGAAAACAAAGTTTTCAGTGTTTTATTGTTACATAAAACAAAATCGATTTAAATAAATTATAAAAAAATATAAATGTTATATTTATGCGAAATTCAATGTCCTTCGCCATGTTTAGTGAGTTTGTTTGATTTTCTACTATGTTGGATGAAAGATTGTGATGCCTTTTTAACCTTTTTTTAGAAGGTTCATCTTTAGTTGGTCGTCCAAATGGTAATCTTTTTAACTCTCTAGTAACACCCAACTTTCTTCGGTTGATGTTGATGAAGTTTGTTGCACTCTTATATTGGCCTTATGTCTAAATCATTTTGCCGAGGAACTTCCTTAGGTATTTAAACAACTTTCCCAAGCCATTTTTATTTTAATATGGGATAATCTTTCGTGCAATAATTTTAACGTTAATGAATCAGTTCCAAATGTAACATTTTTATCTTGTAGCCAATTAATAAAATCTGCAAAAGAAAATTCTTGTTGTTCAGCAGTTTTATTTTTGTTTAAAATAATATATTCTCTAACATTATTTTCTTTAATGTTATTATTAATAGGAACTTTTTCGCCAAAGCACCCAATCTTTCAATTTTGCAGCGGCAAAATATACTACTAAATCAATCTTTTCGCAAAATCTCATCATCTCTTCAGAGGATACAAATCCAAATATAATATGTCGCACGATGGCGGTTGGACTCATTGGCGGCTTTCTGGATGCTAAATATCAAACGATGTTCGATATTTTTTTTGATATTTATATACTTCTAGTTTCAGATGGTTTTCGGCTTACTACTATTACGAGCAAAGTAATTTTGCGACTCCCTAATTTTGATCGTTTGAGTAATATTGTTCTTCAGTCAATACACCAGGTCTGGTATTAGCTCGAAAGAAAATAGACCTTTCGTTTATTATAACAAAAAATTTAAAACACGAATATGACTCAGTGATACTAATAAAATAATTTATTAGAAACTAACAATAAAAATAGTTAATCTAGATATTTATTATATTTGCTTCCTTATTTTAAACCTTTTTCAAATATTCACATACAGTTGGATACTATCGGCTGCACAAATTTTTATGTAAACGTCTTTAAGATGTAATTTCAAAAAATATATTTAACGGCTTGTATATTACGTATTTGCACAACGCATTCCCAACTATAAACAAAGACATATTAATTTCAAGTTAAAGATCTCGCCGCTAGTGTTAGATTTAGTGTTTTCCTTAATACATTACGAACACAGCCAGATCTGTAAAATTGTGCCCTCTCTTATAATACCCAATCTTGGAATAATGTATCAATTACTTGTTATGCTTGGATGGGAATTGGTTGTGTGAATATCGTGTATATTGAATGGTATGCCACAACGATTTAGCGATATTGCAATATTTCATAAACAGATAATGCGATTAATACAAAATGTGGGAAAATAGGCAAAATGGTAATGCCACTGTTGCATTTATATTCCTATTTCATTTAAAGCCATTAGTTTATAAGTATTGAGAATGTCTTATCATGAACTCTTATCTCTTGTGGACATTGATTTTTCTTTTCCGACTGATTTTTTAAACCGACCAGTAAACTTTATAAATTTATGAGTAAACGTACCGTCTGAGATGATTTCTCACGTGACATTTTGTATTGATGAGTGTAGCAGTTTACGGCATATTGCAAACATTATCTTGTGACTACTTATTTTAAACAAAAGTTATTAAAAACTTAAAGAGCCTAAAGAACATCAAGACCTAAAACAATATCACGGTTGTGTCTTATAACTCTTTATATACATGTAACACTTTTTATTTTTAATTTGCCTTAGTATTTTGAAATATAACTAAAAAATGTGAGGGGAAAATAGGTTGTGTTCGACTGAAAAAAGCAAAAGTTTCCTTTATCGAATTTATAAGATGTGCCTAATTTTAACTTGATCCAATTTGTTAATAGAATAGAAGTTATGTGATATGGCTTGTATTGCTAAAAGTTACAAATCTATATATTCATATTTTAGAGAATACTTGTCATATAAATGGTTAAATTATTGTGGAAAATATTTAAGAAGTTTGTAGAGTATTTGAGATTATTTGTGTATCATTGCTTCCCAATCTAGAGTCTCTTCTTTGTGTTATTCATTTATTTGTAAACCAAAATTGAACAGATGGAAGCTGATGATTCTTAGAGTGTATGAAGGTTTAAAAGATGGTTATATAGAGAGTGGCCCAAAAGTCTAGAAACGACCAATTTTCTCGTAAATCGCTAGTTATAATTGTACAAAATTTGAGGTACACCTATTTTGGAATACGGAGATTCCATATTTGATATTTGCAATGTTGCCAGATTTTCTGTTTCTCTTATATTATTAGTAACTTTTTTTTTTAAATGCATCACCCTGTATATTTAGTCATTATTGGAATCTCCTATTCAATACGAGTTCAACCATATGTAACACTTATGATTTGATGTAGTCTGAAAGGTCTTAAATACATAAAATACAAGTCTGGCAACGCCTAATTGTTTCAATAAATTTTTTAATATCAATTATTTTCAACTACATGAAAACGTAACAATTGATAGATTAGAACATTTTTTAACAATAGTTACGTTATTAAGTGTTCAAAATGTGCTCAATTTATGAGTTGACAGTACAATAATCGATGGTAGAATGCGTCTTTCACATTTCTCCATGATGGTCTAGAAACAATTCGAGATTCATCGATAATTCGTTGCCTTAGCGCTGCAAGACTTGCTGGTTTAAGTTTTGTAAACTGAATTTTTCAATAATAAAAATAATCTTTATGATTGAAATCGGGTGAACGTGAAGGCCATTCAATTCTACAATTGTAGAATACGTACCTTGTCTACCAATTTATCGTCCGGAAAATATCTCATCTAAATAACGCCGAACATTTACACCAACTATCTGACGTTAAATTTCTTTCGAGAAAAAATGGCCCAATTGACTGAGTACCTACTATACCTGACGATACATTTAATTTTTGTGGTCTTTGAGTATGGTTTTCACGCATTCAGTGTGAATTTGCGTCACTCCAGTACCTTAAATTGTGTCGATTTACACTTCCACATAGTGTAAAGATTGCTTCATCGGAAAACATATTCTGTTAACGAAATTTTAATAATTTTCAATTTTATCCATCATTACCTCAGTAAACTCTAATCTAAGATCGAAGTCATCTTCACTTAATTCTTGCAATAAGTTTATTTTGAATGGTTTAAACTTATTTTTACTTAATATAAGTAAGACTGAAGAACGACCTACATCATGTACTTGTGCAACCCTGCCTGAGGATGTATGTGGATCTTCAACAAAA